GAACTAGCAGTGAATAAAATCAGATCCTCCTTTTCTCTCCCTTTCAACGAATCACCCTTTTTAACCAGAAATTGGAAAAGCTCATTTATTTTTAACAATTTAGCCGAACGTTTCCTATCTTGTCTTAACAGTTTCCACTATTCGGAACTGCTCAGAAAAGAATGAAAACCCGAACCAAATGCCAAAAACATGTTAACACTACATGAAAGAATGAAGAAGATAGAGATACTCGTTGAAATTATTTCTTGAAATTAAAGCTCCGCTGATTTCAAACTTTGAAAATTTGGATACTAAATGAATATTTATGGTTTGAACTTCGGTGATATAACAATTTAAAATAGATTTATGATAAACATATCTTTTCTCTTACTTGTCACATCAAAGCCAATGATAATAGGCCTCTCTCACTGTTACAATATTCCAGTATTCCAATAACAGAGTGCTAATGAACCTTAATTTTTCAGCACTACGCCAACGTTACGACAGATTTATTAAATTTGACAATAAAATGAATTCAAGAATTTTATTGCTGACCCATATAGATTCGGACTATTTAAATCCATCTTTTTCCGATAATCAGAATATAAAAAGAGGATAATACATAAAACAACCACTTGAAAAATTAGAAAAAATTTTTTGAAACAGTACAAACCTCAACAAAACATAATTTTTGACTTAATCGAAACTAGTAGTGAAAATAAAAAACATCTTAGTATCATAAAGATATTAAAGGACGGATATGACTACAATGTACATAAGATCGAGATAAAATGAAAGTATTATGGATGTTAAAGGAAATAATAAAAAAAGTTAAAAGATAAAAGGAAAATGACAAACTTCGCATCGAGCATGAAGCTTCTCGATGTCAAGGCTGTCGGTGGAGATGATGGAAGGATCCAATGCCATGCTTGAGAATAGGCTTGTATCCTCTTCATCAGTTGATCGTTGGAAATCGAGCTGTGCGATATGTTGATCGATGTCAGCTGGCCACTGTGATTCCAAATTTTGATCCACTAATTTCAGCTCACATAGCTCGACCATTTTTATTTCTTTCACTAATTACAGTGGAATAGCAATACTCCACCGACTTCTTATTCCAGCAATGAATAGATATTGCAGGATCTTTAAAATTTCAATAATCAGTAGTGCAATTTCCTCAAGTCACAGATTATCCCGTTGAGCTCTAAAAACAGCTCATGATGTAACAGTTCCGGGATTCAGTCGAGTCGAGTCAGTCAGATTGGGTCGAATTGGGTCGAATTGGGTCGAATTGGGTTGGGTCGGGTATGGGTCGGGTGGAAACGAATCGAGTCCGGTGAATAACCGTTGACGCTTCGTATTTTCGGCCGCACAACAAACACTCCACACCAAACAGCAAATGTGTGCCCGTCCTCGATGTCTTACAACAACATTCCCCTCTATCTCTGCTTCCTTTTTTGCTGATACTAATGGTTTCGAGAACTCTTTCTCTTTCCTTCCTTTTCTCTGTTGCTATATTTCTGTTATCATCTCTCGTGTTGCATTATTCAGAGAGAGTAGTGATTTGAAAGACTAAGCAAGATGTATTGATTGTCGATTTTGAGGGAGCGTAGGCCTGTCATGCTAGGCTTCGGGCCAATGTGGCAGACTAACAATGCAGCCAGAGAGAAAGTATCATCATCTATCGTCTAACGCGTGCTTTTCCGGTGGAAGGCATTATTGCCCTTTGGTGGTGGTGAAGAACATTCATACATTTTAAAGGGGAACTCCCCGAGATAAATCTCCAGAATGTTCTTTACATCAAGTTAAGTTATTGCATCCCTCAATACCGTGGAACAAGCCAGTGAGGAGGAAATGAACGTGTGGTGTCAGACAGTAATTACTATACAGCTCATTAATGAGCTGTATAGTAATTACTGTCTGACAAGTACGATATTATCAGCTATTAGGTCATATGGATAGAGTTCATTGAGATAGCTGAAAGCCTAAAATAATGATGAATTGCGGTATTTTATTCAGAGTATGAATTTTTAAGGAGATATATGTGGCCTTTCTGGGCCATATGTTTTAAAGAGCAATCCCAAGGGATAGATGTTAGCTGGATGGAATTAAAAGAAGCATATTTTGTCTCACATCTCAGAAGCCCTTGTTTGTGAAAGCTGTTTAAAGCTTTTTTCTGAGAAAGCTGTTTAAAGCTTCAAAAATATAATATAATATGATAAATATGGCTACTTTTTGTGCATATCTTTGTCACTTATAATGACATACAATATTCAAAATATATTGGATTGTAAAATCAAACCTTCATGGTATTAATTATCTGATAACACTGTCATATGTATTGAAAATAATAAATCGAACTAAAAAATAATAAATCGAACTAAAAAAAAAAAATAATCGAACTAATTTTTTTAAAAAAGTCTTGTTTTATCAAACAATGCCTGAATATCATTACATTCAATAAAGATTATCACAGTGATGATTTATTACAGCAATTATTCTGGACATTTTAGACCAAAAACCATAAACACCTAAAATTCATGAGAGAAGGAAGAAAAATTTTCTCTCTATTAAATTTGGTCGAATAATTGCAAACGAATTATTTCTTAGTGATGCTACAGGATATAGTCCATGTACAGTTTAAATTCATGGGATGACTGATACAGGTAAACAGATTACTAATTGTGTTATAGAAAAATCTGAAGTAAAAATAATAAGAGTAATAAATTAGAGTTTTTTTTTGCTGTTATAATATTAATCATAATGAAATATTACAAGAGAGTAATTTCTAAAGCATACAAATAGAAGACTGAAAATTTTGATATAATTGATTTAAACAATCTTATTTCTTTGAATAAAAATAATTGAGGGAAAGAATACATTTGAGAATTGTTTCTGTGAGATTACTTACTTTATTTTATGCCTATTGAGTATGTTGATGATTGAAAGGGAGTTCAACAAATGAATGACCTCATTTTTAAGAATTGAACAAAAAATGCTACCATTTTAATAGGTTATAAAAAAGGATGACAGAAATTGAGCCTTTTGCTGTCAGATAGATAGTAAGACACCTATATTATTGCAGAAATAAAAGTAGGAAAAAATGAAGAATGTCGGTGTTAGCTGTGATTTAGCTGTGGAAATACATTTTATAGTAAGATTGCTTTAATGAGAAGGATAAATTCCTAATTTTAATAGTTTGTAATTTTAAACCAATTTTGAATGTTTACCCGAAGAAAATAAATTCTGTTGCAAAATGAGTGCTAATAAATTGAACCAAAATATTAGGGAAAATTGTAATAAGTGAGTGAGAAATTAGATCAGAGTAAAAGGATTGTTAAGAAATTTTGAGATTACAAATTTGGGGAATCAGAGTAAGAGATTATCGAAGAATTCTGGGATTAGGAATTCGAGGATCAAGGAGATACATTCTCCTTTTTAAGAGGATGAATGATGAAATGAAAAAAATTGAATGAAAAGGATGTGATTCATTTTATCTTGCTCTTCTTGATTTATGGATACACATAACATTACAGGAATTTCAGTTAATCTCGAAGTGTTTAGAACGGATCCGACCGTTCCAATCTTAAAATATGCAACATACAGAAATGTCGTGATGTGACCGTGATGAAAAAAATCAAGTGTTGTAATTTTTCATGTTCTTCGGAAAAGGTGCTTTGAACAAAAGGTAATGAAATCTTCCTGTTCAAAACAAAAACAACTGAAATTGTGTAAGAATACTTCGAGACAATGATTTACATAAATACTATGATGGAAACTGGAGACTTTTCTTAATTTGTTTAACACTTATCAGTCTTTATATCCAACCAGAAATCATTTATATGAAGGAAACTGGAAACTTTTCTTAATTTGTTTAACAAATACTTATCAGTCTTTATATCCAACCAGAAATCATTTATAGCAAAAAGATTTTACTGTTAAGAAACTGATAGTAGCAATTAACTCACTGCGAAAAAAAAGCACGCACTAAAATTTGGAAGGAAAAAATCACGAAGAAAACTTTTAAATCGTAAACGCTCGGAAGCATTGATTTTGTCAAAAAATTTTTAAAGATTTCGCAAATATATATTGCACCTTTATGATTCATTAAGAATAAAATGGAATAAAATGAATTCGTTGTAAATGTGGAAAGAAAAGACTTGCTCTGTTGTACAGTTGCTAATAAATTTTCACGGAATTTGAGAGCATCACATGAAAATTCTAGAGCGAAATGCAAAAAACAGCTGATTTAACGGAGCGACGAATGTAACGCGATAACTATTGAAGTTCTCGCTCCGTTAGTCACATTCTAATAACTATAAATGGATTACACAGGCTTGCTCGATTTTTCGCTCCTACAGATTCATTAGCCAATATGGCGACACGAAGTTGGATATCCAATCGCAAAAACAATGGTATTATTTTTTATGGCGTTCCATTTCATTCACATGCAAATCCAAATCTTTTTTTTAACAGTTTTCGTTTGCTAATAATATATTTTTCGGTAGCAAATTAACATCATTTAACTCTTTTATTTTTAAACTTTCTTGCATTTTACAAAATCACAACATGCATTTCATACCGATTAATGATCTTCTATTCCATTATCCAACCATCACCAATTATGTGCCATCTACTTTCGATAACTATTTTAGAGAGTACATTTTTTAATATAATTAATGCTAGTTCTGACGAAAATATTTAACTCCATTATACACGTTCATTAGGCCTCATATAGAACACTGTAATTAAGAAATTCTTTTCGCAGTATTAAAAGAAGAGAAGCGGAAGATTCGTACTTCGGTTCCTTAATTTACGCTACAGAGCACCGCTACAACATTTACTTTCTTTTGATAGAAGGTGATGCATAACAAGGGCAACCGTTAATTTGGGAAACGATAAGAATTCGAAGCTTTAAAATAATGTTAATGTACAAATTTTCATAAGACTAATTTGCGCGTTAATGATAATAAAATTTCAAAAAGAAATTACAGACGGAAGCAAGCAAAGCAGAATCACGATCAACACCCAAATCGAGTAACTTCACCACGAAGACGGCGTACAAACTGAATGTCTTTAGGAAAGATTGTGACACGTTTCGCATGGATAGCAGCCAAATTAGTGTCTTCGAATAAACACGTCAAATACACCTCCGCAGCTTCCTATAAAATTTAGGCGCTTTAAAAGTCTTTACAACTTCTACCCAAACTTCAATAAAATAAATGTGTAAATATCGCGGAATACTCATCTCAGTATGTAGCAGATATTTCATAGTGACCGTAGGTAGGGTACTACTTAATGTATATTAACTTATATTTTTTTTCCATTTTTTTTCTTACTGACGACTAGTGATAGCCATTTGCTGAATAACTTATGTTCTCATTTTATAAGATAAAGTATAATATGAATATAAATAACTTATATTAATGAAACAAATAGTGTTTATATCGAATTATATACAGTAATTGTTTCATTAATGAAAGAATTCAATGTAAATTCGTGCGTCAAATCACAATATTTTACAGTAAAAAATATAGGATACATGATTTGTTCATAATAATAGAATTACCTGTAGGGCCGATATTGCAAGAGATTGAAAACGCAAATCAACATTTTTCTCTGATACATTCATTGCAATTTCACGTACCAACCGTTGGAATGGTGCACGTGGTATGAGTAAATTAACCGTTTTTTGAAGTCGTCTTATCTCTTGCAAAGCGCGCATACCTTAAACAGCATACATATCCGAAAAAAAAAAGATATGAAAATACATAAAAATTTTCGACCATTTTTACATAAAGTGTTTAGAAAAACTCAACCTAGATAACGATGCTAACAATTCCTTTCTCATCGTGAAACCTAGAAATTTGAATGGATATTGTGAAATTATAATTAAGGTATAATTTTTTTCATTAGAATGATAAAAAATAAATTTGGATTCAAAAAAAGGAAATTCCGGAATAAGTTCATCACAAATTATGACGTAAATACTATAAAATACATGGAATCTATTTACCTGGCTTGTAGCGTCGCTTTTTGATGATTGAAGTATTTTCACCAGAAACTTCGTCTTGAACTTTATGTTTAGTTCCACTAATTCGTTCTCTCTTTGCACGAAGTTTCATTAACTTCCCTCTAGTTGGCAATGATTTTTTTGCGGTTTGTTTCGTGCGAACCATTCTGCACCAGCTGTAAGTACCAATGAAGAAAATGGACAGCGTTTATTAAACAAGCAAAATAAATCGCACAGGATATCAGCCAACAAAACATAACTGATACTAAATTCCAGAGACAACAGTATTCATTCAAAATACGAGACGAGAACAACACCACCCGAGAGTTCTCAGATCTCTTACGAACTTAAACAAGTAGAAAAGGCAAAAAGTGCAAAAATGAAGAAAGGATAAAATATCACATGAAGGAAGAGAGTTAGACGATGATTTGTAGCATTATGATCTTTTAGTTTTCCGATTGCATCGATAGTTCGCTGGGGGTGGTTTGTGTGAGAGTTTGTGGCATGTGCTTCTTCTAGGCTTCCTGACCGGTTTCCCCGGTTCCTCCGGGTCCCTCGTTCCCCGGTTCCTCCGGGTCCCTCGTTCCCCGGCTCTTCTGGGTCTCTCGTTCTCGGTTCCTCCGGGTCCCTCGTTTCCCGGCTCTTCTGGGTCTCTCGTTCTCGGTTCCTCCGAGTTTCTCGTTCTCCGGTTTCTGGGTTCTCTCGTTTTCCCAACCGTCTCGAGAAAGGTACTTTATTGTTGATCCAAATGAATATCTCAATGATTACCTTTTGCTGACCATGGATTGTATTCCATTTATTTTTTTCCGGAGTGCAGCATTTTGGAACTTATCTTTTCTGATATTTTGTAGGTGGAAGTAAAAGATGGCAGAAGACGAAGACTATGAAGGTGAAATGGATCCAGACGAGTTCGGCGATGAGGAGCAGATGGATGACTTAGATTTGGAACCAGTTGAAGATGATGCTGAAAGGATACAAGTCGTTGAGGTCTTTTGTTCTTTTCCATCTTCATTCATTATAATAAAGTGTAGTTCATGGAGTGCAGTTTTAAGTATCTCATCATGTAAAGATATGAAAACAATTGAAATTATGAACTCTTCGGAAATGTTGCTTAGATTTTGGATCTAAAAGTTTATAAGTAGTAGTTCTTAATAATATTGATATCCATGCTCATCTTTAGTAACTTCATCGGGACATCATTGATCCAGTATGATGGCGAATTCAATTTGATTTTTGATATTTCATTCATATATCAGCTGTTAAAGTTATTTATGTCAGGGATCGCAGAAAACAGCATCTGCAGAACGCGTCACAACTCCATTCATGACTAAATATGAACGAGCACGGATTCTTGGAACGAGAGCACTACAAATTGCAATGGGTGCGCCTGTTATGGTGGAATTGGAAGGAGAAACTGATCCATTGGAGATTGCTCGGAAGGAGCTCAAGCACCAAAAAATACCTCTTATCGTAAGAAGGTGAAGTTCTACTTCTGTTAAAAGAAGATTCGGGAAGGGAACCTGAGGACATTTTACTGTTTGGCTTTTCATCTCTTTGTCTTTCTTGATGAAAAAAATACTGCAGTTCCTTTTGAATTAGTTTGTTGTTCACGAAGACGTAAGCTTCTATATTTCCCTTGTTGACGTTGATACAAAATGAAACTTATTTGTTCTACTCGTCATCTTTACTCTCTTAAATGCTGAAAAAGAGATCCAATAGAATTCTGAATTCTCGAACAAAATAATGATTTTAAATGATGTTTGACTTGCAATATGTATTTTTGAAGAGTTGGGTCAAGAACCATATAACATTTTCAGTAATTTTATTGATCTAATGAAGATTTCTTGTTGCAGGTATCTTCCTGATGGTTCTTTTGAGGACTGGAGTGTTGATGAATTAGATGTTACTGATTGGTGATTTGGCAATCATTTTTCATTATTTATGAACATGTGCAGAAACCTTTGAAAAAATGTACTGAACTGAAGAGAATAGCTTGTCTGTTTCATGAAGTTGCATGGTATCGCTACTACTATTAACTTTACGCATATTTTTTACTAATATTCATCTGAATTTTTTAATGAAAATCAATGCAATAGAAATTGCGTAAACAATATTTTTGCTATGAGAAAGTGGTCTTTCTGGAAAGGATAATATCCATTACAGGACAATAAAAAGTACAATTGGAAAAAATCGGACACAACAAAAAATTTGAGATTTGTTAGAGTAGTGCACACTCAATTCAAAAACTTTGTTTGAATCGTTGTAGTATACATCCATGAACAGTTTTGCTTAACAAAGGTTTATTTTTCTGGAAATTATCATTGTACCAAATCTCTGTTGACTTCACATCCCGAAACTGAATTATCCAATTGTATGTATATTTGTTTGCTTATTAATTGAGAACACAAATGTATAAATGAATTTATAAACTGTTCTTTTCCTTTTTTTGAGGAAAGTTTTTCTGTGTACTTGAAAAGGAATAATACAGTCTTGAGAAGGGTTGACAGCTTTGCAAACTGAGTCGTTTCTGTTCACATAAAGGCTAGGATAATGATAGAATGTTAGCAAAGAAAGTGCACTTTGGAAAGAAGTTTAAACATAGAGTAGCAATAGTTAATTGGTAATAAAAAAAGAAATGAGAGAGTTAGCACGAGCTTCTGGACAGATTACACTTGATTTCCTTGTAGTATACACTTTTAATATATACTGCATACAGATTGAGGTATTTTTATTATTTTATTTCAAATTAATAGTCCGGGATACATCTATGAATCAGATTTACAAAACCTGAGAAGTGAGACGGGTAACATTGCCGATTGGAAGTTTGGGAAGTTATAAGGATATGGCACAAGAAGGAAAAGTTTTGATAGAACAACTGTGGACTATCCAATTCATTGATGGCATCAGAATGAGGAGATCAAATCTATCAGTACTGTTAGAAGGTTTTCACCGAAGAGTTATCCGTAATAGATATTACGGAGATGGTAATACTGATGGCACAACTTTGATTTATCAACACCAAAACTATGGTTTCAGGGGAATTATTTTTATTTTTCATAGCATTTAAATAAATTTAATCAAAAAAAATCACGGAACCAGAGTTTTCCTTCTTTCTATTGATTATTTATTTTAAATTTTCTCTCAATTTTTAAAATTTAAATGCTCCGATCCCTTAATATTTCAAAATAAATGTATACACATCAAAATAGCTTATGCTTTTTGCGAAGTACAGTTTGTTTCCAGTGTGGAAGTGCATAGAAAGCTGTTCGGTCCATTCGAAAGACTGATTGAAAATCATCATCATTTAAATATTGCTCTAATCGATTCAGGTCAACACCAGGTGGCAAATCTCGACTTATCACTTTTTCGAGTGGCCAAGTTTTTATTCGTAATTGTAATAACTCATCCAAATCGATTGGTTGGCATCGTAATGGATTTTGCTAAAAATGATAAATATTTTTACCTTTCTGTATGTTCAGTTTACGAAAAAGTATCTGTGGGAAGGAAGTAAATCTAAAATGTTTACTTTTATTTTAAAGATTCTGAAATAAGATTGAATTGAAGTGTTACCGTAATAAGTTCATTTTCATCAATTTCGTCGATGAAATCATCCCATGTAGGGAAAAGTGCTTTGAATGAATTCGGTTCTTGCGTCTTGCAAATGACCGTTTTTGGACCGGTTCGATTAGACCAGTAAGCGTTTGCTACACGTAATGCAAACGTACTGACCGTTTTATCACTCCAAAGCCACAATCTATTATGTTGATCTACCATAATTGTATCCCTAAAATGGACATTCTTTAATTCAAATATCAAGCATATTTATCTGCAATGTATTTTATTCTTTGTGAGTAAAAAATTTGAGCAATTTCTTTACATAACGCAATAAAATTGTACTGTACGTTACCAACTAGTAAATTTCCAATAATCAGTTTGCATGGTTTAAAAGCTATGAAAAGCAAACCTAAAATTGTCCTGTTGAAATGAAAATGGAAGAGAAGGATCACAATTTGTAGACGACAATTCTTCACAATCCTTCTCAAACAATCGAAATAACCGTGGCGGCTGTAATGAAAGCATGAGGTAGATAAAATCAAAATAATCCATAAATGTAATTGAAGAATTGAAGTGATCGTTAGTGTAACCCTAATTAAGGCATGCCTTAACAAAAATACGACACACCTTAATCCAATGATCCGCTCTGATTACAGGATAATCGTCTGCTCCAGTCAAGCAACAATGATCAATGACTGGTTCGGTAATAAATTGTTCAAAGGCACTGTAATGTATTTTGATTTTCTTGGCAAAATTTGTAGCTGCCATCTTTGAACTTTCATTACTTTCAACTCCTTCCAGTATTGTTATTCTGCTATTACTTAGTGCAATATATACAGCATGAGCACGATAAATGATAGGTAAACTTTGCTCTTCCATTCGAGCTTCACTGGCAATTGACGATCCATAAACGAGGAAAATACCCGATCCACAGCCACAAATAATCAATGATCCTTGAAATAATTGCAAGAACAGTGGCGATTCTTGTCCCTGAAAGCATTTTATCCTCAATGTAGCATATTGTGCAGCACGTATTGACCTTCACAAGGTCGCAATAACGCAATAATACTTATTATTTCTATTTGTCCAATATTGCAAAATTAAGATAACTTTTAATTTAATTAATTTTGAAAGTTAAAAATGACCTGAGCAATTCTTTCATGAGGAAAATGTGCCTCATCATAATCTCTTAGCGCCAAAGCGCAAAGTCCTTGCTCTGTTTTAGTGGTCTTTTTACCTAACCAATAAAAATATGCGACACGTTGGCGACCAGTTTCTTTCTCACGTTCAGTACCATCCAATTTTCGTATTCCTGAAATGTGTCAACAAAGTTTTCTTCAGATCTAAACAGCATGTATGAAAGGTTAACCAGGTATGTAAGGGAAAAAGTGTGAAAAGAAAAATGCAAAATCTACCAATTCGTTCTATTCGATATTCCCATTTAATAATATAGCAGCGATTATCTCTTAAAATCCATAATTCATCAATTTCATTCAGTGTCTTTTCACTCTCCAAAATAAAGCAACGAATGTTTTCGGTAAAAATATTTTTGAAATTTCTGTACAATTTTTGTTCTTCCAGAATTAAAACTGGTTCTTCCAGTGATCGAGATGCAAGATTTCTGCAGTAAGTTAAATTTTGAATTTTGAAAGCTGATAAAATGCTAGTGAAATGATCGAAAGTTTTAAATGCTTTAAGAACAGATTATTCTCCAACTTTAACAGTTAAGGCATTAATTTTTAATTTTTTAACTTCAATCTTTCGACTTTTTTCACAGCTAAGAATTGTTAAAGATTAAATTAATCTGAGAAATTTGTGGGACCTTCCTAAATTGTATGCTTCTTCTTCCTCAAGTAGTACTGAAGCTGGAGACGTGGAGGTTATGCAATATGCAGGCTTATTATACATATGACCAGTTATTTCTTGCCAATCATGAAATTTGTGCTGGAAGAGTGAATCCTTCAGTCCGTGAGTTAGTTTGATGAGTAGACACCACGCTGGTCGAATTTTATGGAAATTATCACCCAATATCATCTGATCCAATCCAAAAACCGTGTTCAAAGGTTCGGTACGCTAAAAATTAATTATTCGTTTCTGGTTTCTACTCCCATTCATTACTAGTTATTCACTTCCACTCACTGTTATTTGTTTATTTTTATTTATTATCAACAATTTAATAATCTTAGGAGAATCTTTCGCCACTCGTTGGATTTTTCGGATCCAATAAGCGTTCACAGAATACTATATGGAAGGTTTTGTCTGATTTTTGCATTTCTTAATCTTCCAATAAACAGTAAAGGTTTAACGATAGTAATAATAACATGAGAGACACGTTTACCAGCGTTTCAGCAAATGCAACTGCTTGTTGTGTTTCGACACGGTTAGCATTTCGCCCAACCCAAACATAAATTTCAGAACCAAAATCAAAAATTAAATTCTAAAATTCAAAGTTATCAATTTGAAAGAACGGATAGAAAATTTAAAATATAATTGTCCAATAAGGGAATCTAACAATTTATCAGGCTTAAACTAAAAATTAGTTCCCTTGTAAAATTAATTCTCTTAAGATTTATTCAATTTACTGTCTAATTGTTGCGTCCAATTATTAAATACATAATTACTTTCCCAATTAATTTTCATTTACGTTATGGGGGACGAAAAAGACATATGATTTAGTTAATATTTCTGAAAGGTTCGTGTTATAGCTTTTATTTACTTGTCATAAGTAATTACTGTATAGTAGAAAGGTCAACAACCTTTTTGGGATGTAACAGAGAGAACTTTGGGAGTTGACCTGATGAGATTCGCTGTCTGTTATAATGTTCATCAATTTCATAAATTGTATTCATTTGAGCGGCAATATTTTCAAATGGTTCATTGAGGGTCAAAAGGTTATCTGGAACATGTTCCTTAATCGTGACAGCCTCACATTCTCCTTCATTCAATCCAACTAAACGCCAAAATTCGTCAATGCCTTCTCCTTCGTGAACATTTTCAAATTGCTTCGCATTACATCCCAATTCACCGTTTTTTTCACAAATACTTGTAATTATTCTCGCTGCCTGAAATTATCACATATTGATCGAATTTTGGAATTATTAGCAATCCTTCTAACAGTTCAGCCAGGCCTCATTCTTAAGTAGTTGTGGTACATTGTGTAATTCTTATTATTTATTGTAGAGCTAACTAACTTGCAAAATATCGTAACTTTAGTTTTAAGGTTTTCAATCTCGTCATTTTGAAATTCTAAAACAGCAAGGAATAGATGATGAGAAAGGACGCACAGCAGGAAACTAACTGCATTAGAAGATGGGAAGCAACAAAGGAAGATCAATTCGGTTACATTCTAAAAACGACGACTTCTTTGTCAAACAAAAACGGTACGCGGTAATTATGTTCATTTAAAAAAAAATAAAAAATTGAATGACAATTTTAGTAAAACAATTCAAATTCTTATCGTTTTCTGTTATTCGTAATTTTGGATAAGATAGATAAGGTATATTTTTAAGATAACTGTAAAGTTTGGAAAGAAAATGAAGATGTTGCCAAACAATTTATTAACAAATAACTTCAGGATATTGGCTATCAAAGAAGTACTAAACAAAGGATTACTTTACTCCTTTCAAGCAAATTCGAATATTTTCCGTGGTATAGGAATAACTGCTTTGGAGTGATTAGAATGAATACAGCATATGCATGAATTGAGGTATATTTAGGTGCCACCAATCGGACATCCATATTCTTATCACCTAAATCATTCACTACATTTATAAATGAAAAAGAAAACAATTAAATTTAGAAAGTAAAAGATATGAGGAATAAAAGAATTTTGCTGGAATAAAATTTGTTCATCTGATTAATCTTAATTTTTTGAAATAATTTTAATTAAAATAAATCTATAAAACTTCAATCTGATCGATTAATCCATCTTCATCCATTTCTATGTAAGACAGAATATACCCAACTTTGATATCATTTCATGCATCACAAATTAAATTTAATATTATCACTGATCTCCAAATTCTAAAATCCGATTTTGAATCTATTATCAGTTCGCAAGAATTTTTATATTTAAATTGTCGAAATGAAAATTTCTACTTTTATAGCTAAAATTTTCGATTCTAATAAATAAGAAACTAAAAAGCAAATAACCTTTCACTCGTATAAGCATTAGTTCTGGATATGGTGATTTTAATTCTCTTTTTTTCAATTTTACAGCCGAGTAATCTACCTTGCTCTGCAAACCCTAAATAAAACTAATTTTGAAAATTTCCGAAAATTTTGAAAGTTTTTTTTTTTAATTTCGTCATTAATTAAGCAAATGTATACGGAAAACCTTTTTAACACTGCTGGAAATTCCCACTCCATCGTCTTCTTCCTGATCAATTTTCTTCCGACAATTAGTAGGATTTGATAATGTTTCAACAACTGGTTGACATATCAAACGTTCCGTCAGTCGATATGAAGCATTACATCGACTACGACCATGTGCTGCGGCTCGAACTGGTACAATCAATCTGAAAAATCTCTGATACAATTTTACATTCATTTTAAAATTTATTC